ATTGCCAGGTAAACCTCTTACAAACCTTCCGTCAGAAGGAGAAGTGCGGTTCTCTTTAACAAAAATAATTATTAAATTTGTGGGTGTTCCAACACTGGAGGTTTTTAAGAAGAGACTGGGCAGCCGCTGGTCTGAAATGGTGTAGGGTTTCCTGCCTAAGCAGGGGGCTGGACTAGAAGACCTCCAAAGGTCCCTTCCAACTCTGTTATTCTGTTATTCCTTTTCCTTCCTTCTTTTCCTTCCTTCCTTCCTTCCTTTCCTTTCCTTCCTTTCTTTCCTTCCTCCCTTTCCTTTCTTCCTTTCCTTTCCTTCCTTTCCTTCTCTTCCTTCCCTTCCTTCTTTTCTTTCCTTCCTTCCTTCTTCCTTTCTTTCCTTTCCTTTCCTTTCCTTCCTCCCTCCCTTCCCTCCCTTCCTTTCTTTCCTTCCTCCCTTTCCTCCCTTTCATTTCCTTCCCTTCCTTCTTTTCCTTCCTTTCCTTCCTTGCTTCTTTCCTTTCCTTCCTCCCTTCCCTTCCTTCCTTCCTTCCTTCCTTGCTTCTCTTCCTTCCTCCCTTCCCTTCCTTCCTTCCTTCCTTCCTTCCTTTCCTTCCTCCCTCCCTCCCTTCCCTCCCTTCCTTCCTTTCCTTCCTTCCTTCCCTTTCTTTCCTTTCTTTCCTTCCTCCCTTTCCTTCCCTTCCCTTCCTTCTTTCCCTTCCTTCCTTCTTTCCTTTCCTTCCTTCCCTCCCTCCCTTTCCTTCCCTCCCTCCCTCCCTCCCTCCCTTCCTTCCTTCCTTCCTTCCTTCCTTCCTTCCTTCTCCTTCATTGGAGGTTTTTTAAGAAAAGACTGGACAGCCATTTGTCTGGAATGGCATAGGGTTTCCTGTCTGAGCCGGGGTTGGACTAGAAGACCTCCAAGGTCCCGTCCAACTCTGTTAGTCCCTTCTTCTCCTCCCTGAGGGCCCTCCATATGGGCTCCTCCATTCCACCCCTTCCTCTTTCCCCTCCAGCATCTCGGCCCAAAGCAACTTCGCGGTGGGGGCCGTGGTCAACGCCACCTTTGGCTCCATCACGGAGCTGACCTTCTACATCACGGCCCTCATCAAGGGCGCCCGGGAGAAGAACAGGTGCTACGCGGAGATCGTCAAGTCCGCCCTGACCGGCACCCTGCTCGGCTGCGTCCTTTTCATCCCGGTGGGTCTGGGGCCCCGGCCCCCTTCCATGGCGCCTCCAGTCTGGGCCTTGGGTGGGTGGGGGATATCCTACTTGCCCCAGGTTCAGCGCCAGGAGATTGAAAGTGCTCCTCCCTCTGTCCCTCTTTTCCTCTCCCTCCTTCCCTCTCTCCTTCCTTTCCTCCCTCTTTCCCTCTCTCTCTCCCTCCCTCTCCTTCCATCCCTTTCTCCCTCCCTCTCCCTCCCTCCCTCTTTCTTTCCCTCTTTCCATCTCTCTCTCCCTCTCCCTCCCTCTCCCCCTCCCTCTCCCCCCATCCCTCCCTCCCTCTCCCTCCCACCCTCTCTCCTTCCCTCCCTCCCTCTTTCCCTCTCTCTCTCTCCCTCTCCCTCCCTCTCCCCTCCCTCTCTCCCT